GTTTATAAAAAATAAAATATTTAAAAAAATATTTTTTTTTTTTTTCGGTATCGGTTTCGGCCTGACATTTTTTTTTATTTTGGTTTCGTTTCGGTTTTAAAATTTCCATTTCGGTGCACCTCTAGTTGTTACCCTTACTCATTCACCAAATACAGTAAAATTGTAAATAAACACAGAACACTACAAAAAAGTCCTTCATTAAAAAAAAAAAATCGATATAACCCACAGGTCAATCATGTCTTCCAGCAATGTAGATCCACATCAATCACGATGGACGACGGCCGCTGACATGCTGGAAAAAAAAATAGCCGGCACGACCAATCCTGATGAACTCTTGCCGTAGAATGACAGCTCTGCTCCTGTATGCCAACAAAGGGGCGGAGCGAGTTGTGACATCATTTGACTTGTTCTGCCCCTTTGTTGACATTATGTGACAGCTCTCTGCCCTTTTATTGATATATTCGGGAGCAGAGCTGTAATTGTCATCCAGTGCAGCCCTGCGCTATGGATTTTAATTTTGCTCGCAAGTTGCGAGCACTCATTGGTCAGTGCGGTCACCTGACCATGATGACCAATGAGAAACGCTTCTTAGCAAAAAGGTGACCGCTCTGACCAATTACTCGCTTATAATTTGCGAGTGCGAGCCCCACCAGGGCTGCACTGGAGGGGAGTACAGGGGTAGGGATAGTACTCCCGTACCAGCAGAGGGGTTGGTGGGAGAGGGGCACAGATTTGAGCTGGGAATTCTATTTTTTTTGCAACCGTGCACCATACAAAAATGCAAATGTATGAATGCAGCCTATATTTACTGCACCACTGACAACTTTATTACAGTTGGAGTTACACTTCATGTTTCTATTTATGGAAGAATACACCATAGCAGAACATGGTAACAGCGATTCCAGGACCTACTTTAAAATGTTCTTAACTTAACAGATATGGTCAATAAAGTTTGTTTGAAATAAGTGTTACGTCTAGAATAAGGCAAGATACATTTCCAGAAGACACACTCAATTTTAATCTCTGTCTTTCATTCACAGGTATTTTTTTCCTTCGAAATGCACATATACTGGTCTCCAGAAACATGGCCGCCGTCAAGACCACGACTACATGGAGGCCAAAACCTCAGAACAAAACTTCTAAGAGCGTTACAACACTGCGTACTGGGTGGTCAGGTTAACAAACCAAGCACAAATAAACTTTCTGAGCCGAAGTCTACTCAGTGTTTGAATGTGTCTGTCGCGGGGCGGCGACATAATGACGAGGAGATAAATCTTCCTCTTGTGTCTGTGTGTGCTCTAGGCGGGGGCATTAGGTGGTGGCAGCGACGCAGGTTGGTGACGTCACGGCTTGTTGTTGCTTGGCGCGGGGAAGATGGAGGCGGATTGTGGGGTGTCAGCTCAGCTACTGAAGGAGTTCCTTTCCATCACCGGTGAGAGGGGTGACTACATGTGCTCGGGTTGTGTGCGGGGTAGTCAGTGGGCTGATCAGGTCAGAAGACACGCCCACAAATGAAGGAGCCCTAAAAACACTTGGGGGGAATTTATCAAAACTGGAGCAGTAGCCCATGGCAACTAATCAGCGTCTCCCTTCAGTTCAGTTAAGCTTTGCTGTTGAAAGATAGAAGCTTTTTGGTTGCCATGGTTGACTGCTGCAGATTTGATAACTTCCCCTCTTGGTGTGATCAGTGACTTGATCTGTCAGGAGTCCTCTGGACCATCCTCAGAAACTGAGCATACGGATATACACAGTGTAGCAGTGTTTATAAAGGGGTGTCCTGTGTGCCCTCTGGGGCACATTACACACATTTAGGAATGGGTTTGTTCTTGCCGATCAAATTTCAGCCTGAGTTATTTAAAGCCCAACTTAGGGAATTGCATACAAATTACCTTTGCAGTGTCCCACTCCCATTAGCCATGTATGGTACATGAGGACGGTGGGGGAATGTCAGGAAGAAGAGAAGAGCGCCAGAGAGAGGAAGAAGGTAAGTATTACACCGTAATCCTCAGCCCCCCTAGACTTTCTAAACATTTAACCCTTGCAGGGGCATAGGCAGGCAGGCACTGCGAATGCGCGGGTAATTTATGTGTAATTCTCTTAGTTGGGGGTTTCTAAACCAATACATTTAGGCATATAAGAAGAGTCTGAAGTCCTTATATCCTATTGATCTGGGTCAGTGGATCATAACGGCTGAAGCTGAGGATAAGAATGACAAATAAGAAACTAGCACTTTCAGAAGGAGAGCTTGGCCACGTCATGTTAAAGGAGAACTATGACATGAGTGATTTCCACTCACCTCATAGTTCTAAGCCGACCTGTGACAATGAGACGGTCACAGGTCGGCTCAGTAGATCGGGAGGTGAGCGAACACATACCGGGTTCCCTCACCTCTCGATCCTGTCACGGCTCTCTGCCGTGACAGGGGGAGGGGCTGGATTCCCCTCTCCCTGCTCCGATCTGCCAGCGCTGACTGGCGGAACGGACGGGGGAGGGGGCGGGTACAGCTGGCTCTGCCTCTAGATAGGCAGAGCCAGCTGTCACTCATGCAGCTGGGCGGATCCCGTCATCTAAGTCGGGATCCGCTCCAGGTGCGGCGTCTCAGTATACCGCGAGCTGTAGCTCGCTGTATACTGAGCTTAGGGTGACGGTAGGACGCTAGTTTGTGTCCTCCCGTTACCCCAAGGAGAACTATGGGGAAAAACACTGACCCCATAGTTCTCCTTTAAGTATTTCTCTTATGGCAGTTTTCCTTCAAAGTGTATTTCCACTGTTGCCGTCATATTTGAGAAGGCCGCTTAATATGTTTGTGTTCTCGTTCACACATCGTACCTTTAGCTGACCATACATTGCATAACAAAAAATAGAGCAGATTCCTCCATCAACGCTACAAGACGAATTCCCGCTGTTTCTTTTGTATCCTGACAGCGGCTGCCAGCCACTGTCAGAATACCCGAACAGAGTCGGCAGCTCATTGTCTGCCACCTCTGGTCATACGAAGATTTTCCCATTGGCTCCTTCGATCAGCTGATCGAGGGATGCCGGCTGAAAGGGCGCTGACAGCAGCACCCACTGTGCAAATTCCGGCCAGTTTATCGAGAACAAGTGGAGGAAGTGTGCACAGTGTATGGGCACACTTAGAGTGTATAAGAGCTTGTTCACACCAAATCCGGACCAGATCTGCGTGAGTTTCTGCACATGCAGTGCTGTGTGTTTTGCTGCGTTTTTGTCGTGTTTTTGATGCGTTCTGGGACTTTTTTTTTCTTCTGTGTAGCCTAAAATGGGCTTTCAGTGTGTTCCAGGGTGTTTGCATGCGTTTTGGTGCATTCCAGAGCAGAAAAAATAGGGCATGCTGCAGTTTTTCTACATGCTCTAGAAACTGAACGCTGTGGTGTGAACTATCAAAATACCATTGGAATACATTGGATGCAGTTTTGATGTGTTCTGCAACTGCTCTGCATCGCACTTGGTATGAAGAAACCCTTATCATCCAATGTACCACCCAGACCTGGAGTTCTTTGTTAGGACAGACAGCCCTGCATGTCTACTTTACAAATAATGAAATCTGCCAGCACAGTACAGTACAGATGGGGTTAATTCTGGTAAACATAATTCCACAGCTCCCTCCTTAAAGCAGAACTCTGGGGACATTTTTTCTTCACCCGTGTAATGAGGCTACCCCTGCACTGCAAGGGTTAGGTGCTTGCTTTTGTCTAGGCTCAAGCAAACCGGCTTCCGAGGATCGGGAGAGTATAACTTTGTTATTTTCTGCTCTGTCTTAACATTATATAAAAGGGCAAAGCTAACTAAGATTTTTCAGTAAGTACAACTAAAAATGTTGTACAAAAATGTACAATAAAAATGTTTTATATAAAGGTTAAGCACGCTTTTAAACAGAGTACACTTATTCTTTTGGGTGTTTTAGAATGACCTCACCGATCCCTCCCTCCCCCTCACTGATGAATACTTCCGGGAGGCCCAGTCTCCATTGTTCATTTACATCCTGCACCGAAAGTCTCCCATTCTGCCCAGAGTGTGGCTTTAAGTAACTCAACATATATAATGGCTGTAGAGAATTTGAACCATTGAATGAGCGCGATCGTTCTAAATACTAGCACTGATGACATAAAACACAGCTTCCTGATCTACCTACATTGGTGGTGTGTTTATAGAGTTCAAAAATATACATTTCAGATATTTGGGCTTTATAATAATTTTTTGTGAATAAATATCTAAGGGTTAGTTCACACCAGAAACTGCATCACAACTGCGTGCGTCTGCACAGTTGCGCTGCAATGCGTTTTGATGTGTTTGCAATGCGTTTTTTAACTGCACTAAAATTGCTAATTATGCATGTAGGTCACTTCCTTTTCCTGTCAGAGCATTTCCTCTGTACGTTTGGGAGCTCAGTCATGCTTTCTTTGTTGGCTGGCATGGTGCTAGTTTTGACTTTAGCCATTCTTTTTTTTTGTATGTGTTCCGTTGCGTTTGCACCGCGTTTAATGCGTTTTGATGCCGTTAAAGTAGGACAAGCAGTACCTTTTCTGACTGCAGTTGAATCGACTGCAATGGTGGGAATTAGGCACAAGAAAGCCCATAAGAAAGCATTGGGATGTATTTTAACTGCGCTGTTGAAATAAACGGACTGCATCACAACTGCATATGGTGTGAACGGGCCCTAAAGGTTTCAGGAGTTTGTCAGACTTGAATATGTTTATAAGTGGTATTGTGCTTTGCAGTATGTGGCTGACTTCCTGTCCAGTGACACTAGAAATAAACACATTCAAATGTTATTTCTTTACCCCAATGTGGCTGAAGTGAAGCCCGCTTGGGACGGTGACTTTCACTCTATTGGTTTAGACACAATCATGTGGGTTTTCTTCAGGTAGGGAAGTGTGCTTACATGGCCTGCTACGGAAACGCATAGAAACAGTACAGAGGATTGTCTGCAAGTGGAATTGCCTACACTGGCTGCTAAGATGAATGTTGATCAGAACAGGGATGTGCACAAAAATATGGAATCCAGGAGCTAGGAGGATTTTTCTTTTGCCTGCTCCATTTACAACCTTCCAAATTGGGCACCAGCTGTAAATTCTAAGGGACATTGGCAACCTGGCTTCTGGGATTTGTCCAGCCCTAGATTAGAGTGACACAAATTCATATCTGTTGCCTCTGTTTCTCCAGCAGAAACATGTCATGTATCATATCAGGTGGTACATGAGGGGTGTGTCTAAAACTGGCCATACACCTATAGATATTCTGCAGATTTTCTCTGGTCAGATGGAAAGAGTGCAACAGATTCCTCCATCTATGCTACACTGTGTGATGGAGGAATCTCCCACTGGGCCAAGCTTTAGTATCTTCCTAGTCGTCCCCGCTGGCTCTCAAAATGCCTGAACAATCTGATTGGATGCAGCATTGTTCCGGTCTTTTGAGAGCCAGCGGGGCCGACTAGCAAGATACTGAAGCTTGGCCCAGTGGGAGATTCCTCCAGCCACACAGTTTAGTGTAGATGGAGGAATCTGTTGCACTCTTTCCATCTGATTATAGACAGAAAAAAAATCTATAGGTGTATGGCCAGCTTAAAGGAGAACTATGGGGTTAATGCTTTTCCCCATAGTTCTCCTTAGGGTAACGGGAGGACACAAACTAGCGTCCTCCCGTCACCCTAGGCTCAGTATACCGCGAGCTACGGCTTGCGGTATACGGAGACGCCGCAGCTGAAGCAGATCCCGACAATTATGTCTAGATCCGCCCAGCTGCGTGAGTGACAGCTGGCTCTCCCTATCTAGAGGTAGAGCCAGCTGTACCCGCCCCCTCCCCCGTCCGTTCCGCCACTCAGCGCTGGAGGATCGGAGCGGGGAGGGGGGAATCCAGCCCCTCCTCTTTCACGGCAGAGAGCTGTGACCGGATCGAGAAGTGAGCGAACGCCGGTATGTGTTCCCTCACCTCCCGATCTTCTGAGCCGACCTGTGACCGTCTCATTGTCACAGGTTGGCTAGAACTATGAGGTGAGTGAAAAGCACTCGCCTCATAGTTCTCCTTTAAGCTGAAGTGACTGGTATACTCAATAAGACAATGCAAAGAGCAGCGATCAAATGCTAGAGGTAGACACATGAATATGGAATTCAGGAACCAGTCTGTCCAGTTCAGAAGCCAACAGGATTTTTTTTAGTAGCCAGCTCTATTGACAACAACTAGACAAAACCTCAAAAGTTAGGCTCCAGCTGTAACTTAAGGAGCATTGGCGACCTGGCTCCTGAGTTTTGTCCAGCCCTGTCATATGCTAACTGCCATAGGTTTAGCTGCTGATCCGATTTCAGATGAGTGCACCTTTTTATAATACTTTTGTGAATAAAGGAAGTTCTTTCACAACAATCTGCATAACACAGAAGTGACATTATTTGTTTCCATACAGGAGCCAGTGAAAGTGTGGGCAAGCACATGCTAGAAGCATGCAATCATAACTTAGAAATGGCTGTCACTATGTTCCTGGATGGCGGTGGTGTTGTAGAGGAGCCAAGCACAAGTTCTGCAGGGGCATCCAGTGCCCGCCCTGCTGACGAGTAAGTTAATAAAGCCTGTCCTTTATGGCATGTGGTAGTGACGCTCATAATTGTTGAATCATCTTGTATGTTTACCTGGTATCATCCTTTTCTTACAGGGAACCAACCGTACACCACAATGCCTAAGGTGGCCATACACTATTAATCTAACGGATTCCTCCATCTTCGCTAAACAGTGTGAATGGAAGAATCCCCTGCTGACAGCTATTGTATTCAATACCCAGACAGTGCTTGCATCTGATTGAATGTAAACACTGTTCAGCTGAACATTTTTTGATTGGCTCCTTTAACAAAAATGAATTGACAAATCGACTTTTTGTCTGGTGGAGAGTGGCCACCCATGGCTTGAATTTCAGCCAGTTCATCAGATACCAGCCACAATTAACACATCAATGTTGGTAAATAAGATGAACTTCTGCTCAACCTACCAATACCCAATCATATCTTCATTGGCCTACCTCTACACAGGCCATCCCCCCTTCAGTCTACTATGAAGGCTGCTGCTAGACTCCTTCACCTAGCCAACCGCTCAGTGTCTGCAACCCCCCCTCTGCCAATCCCTACACTGGCTTCAACTCGCCCAAAGGATAAAATTCAAAATATTAACAACCACTCACAGCCATCCACAACTCTGCCCCCGGCTATATCTCAAACCTGGTCTCAAAGTATCACCCTAACCGCCCGCTCCGCGCATCCCAAGCCCTCCTGCTTTCCAGCTCTCTCGTCAACTCCTCCCATGCTCACCTCCAGGACTTCTCTAGAGTCTCTCCCATCCTATGGAACTCTCTACCTCAACCTGTCCGTCTATCTCCCACTCTGACTGCCTTTTAGGCAATCCCTTAAGACTCGTCTCTTCAGGGAAGCCTATCCGACCTCAACCTAACCACTCAACCATCACGTTCTCAAACAATTCATCCCCACACAGCTCCCTCCTGTGTGGGGATGACACCCCTCCAAATCATTGGATTCAGGTGTTCTGTGAAATTTCCTTGCTCCTAAATATTCCACGGCCAACTGTTAGTGGTATTATAACAAAGTGGAAGCAACTGGGAACAACAGCAACTCAGCCACGAAGTGGTAGGCCACTTATAGTGACAGAGCGGGTCCACGCATGCTGAAGCGCCCAGTGCGCAGAAGTCGCCAACTGTCTGCAGAGCCGATAGCTACAGACCTCCAAACTTCATCTGGCCTTCAGATTGGCACAACAACAGTGTGTAGAGAGCTTCATGGAATGGGTTTCCATGGCCGAGCAGCTGCATCCAAGCCTTACATCACCAAGTACAATGCAAAGCGTTGGATGCGGTGGTGTAAAGCACACCACACTGGACTCTAGAGAAGTGGAGACGCGTTCTCTGGAGGGACCAATCACACTTCTCTGTCTGGCAATCCAATGGACGTGTCTGGGTTTGGGGGTTGCCACGAGAACGGTACTTGCCTGACTGCATTGTGCCAAGTGTAAAGTTTGGTGGAGGGGGATTATGGTGGGGGGTGGTTTTTCAGGGGTTAGGCTTGGCCCTTTAGTTTCAGTGAAGGGAACTCTTAAGGCATCAGCATACCAAGACATTTTGGACAATTTCATGCTCCCAACTTTGTGGTAACAGTTTGGGGATGGCCCCTTCCTTTTCCAACATGACTGCGCACCAGTGCACAAAGCAAGGTCCATAAAGACATGGATGGGGGAGTTTAGGGTGGAGGAACTTGACTGGCCTGCACAGAGTCCTGACCTCAACACGATAGAACACCTCTGGGATGAATTAGAGCGGAGACTGCGAGCCTGGCCTTCTCATCCAACATCAGTACATGACCTTGCAAATGTGCTTCTGGAAGAATTATCAAACATTCTAAATCTTGTGGACGCCTTCCCAGAAGAGTTGAAGCTGTTATATCGGCAAAGGTGGGCCAACTCAATATTGAACCCTACGGACACAGACTGGAATGCCATTGGAGTTCATGTAAAGGCAGGCGTCCCAATACTTTTGGCAATATAGTGTATGCTGGGCATAGTTGAGTGGGTGTAAAGATCTTGTACCTGTATAAGAATACGCTAATTCAGAGATTATGGGGAAATTACGTTGGCAAGCAATTTTGTATATATCTGAAAGGATTTAGCAATTATCTTAGAAGCACTCGGGCCTGTGGACTGTCCTTCAGCGTCCTTGTGTATAATGCAGGGCCATGAGATCGGCATTAGACGTGATAATATCTGTGGGCCACCGGCTGCTGGCCGACTTCACTTTTCTGTAGATCTTTAAACCATCCTTCACAGGACAACACTGGAGCTTTGACTATTGTCCAGCAGAAACCTTATGCATCCTATTCTGAAAAGGGCTGAATGTTTTATTTTTAACAGTAATGGCGCTTATTTTCAAACATGTATCTGTAGGTTGTAGCGGAGGAGAAGCCACAATCTTTTATAAAGAATCTGGTTGGTTGCTAATGGAAACCTCATCAGTTTTACTGCAGTTTACAACCTAAGTGTACTGAGCTGTACTTCATAGACTGAGGGTCATGTATGCTGTCTGAATGAAATAGTAATTGGAAAGATGATATGATACACCCCCTGTAAACCTTTAAAAAATTAACCAAAATTGACAAAGCCTCTTATACTTCCCCCTTGTAATTAAATTCTTCTTCTTCTGATAGAGATGAAGTGCGCGCACCAATTCCACAGAAACAAGAAATCCTGGTGGAGCCTGAAATGTTTGGCGGTAAGAGGCTTGCATGTTGTAAACCGTAACCTGGTTAATGTCCCAAAGGTGCAGACGCTAATCTGTTTACATAGTGAAAGAAGACTCTGTATCAGCAGAACAAGTATCTTTATGTTTACAAAAGAGGTCTGTTCATGTCTGGGGTTTGGATACTGCCTCTGAGCAGAAAACATCGATATATTCCCAAGAAATCTATAACGTGACATAACGTTCTGTATTTAACACGATAGGCTCAGTTCATAAAAATAACAAACGAGGATAACTATACTTCTTTTCAAAATGAGTCCAATGAGATTAGAAAATGACAGTCACATTCTTAACTTAGAGAGCTTTATCCTTGTGTTGAAGCTTTGTAAATAGAGTCTATATGGAACGTAACGTTTGAACAACAGTACCTCCATATTAATGAATCCTTTATGACATGTGGTCATTTAAACATAGGTGCCTAGACTTAAAGGACCACCATCAGTATATGTCAGTTACCTTGTCTACCTAAATAATTTTTACATAATTATTTAATCCCAACCCCTTCCTGTCTGCCATCTGTATAGAAACATTGTCCTGGCAAGTGGCCAGTGCTGGGAGAGCGTTTATAAACGGTTAACTTTCATTTGCAGCACCCTTTGGAGGCTGCTTTGATCTCCAATAGGGTACTACAGACTTCTGTAGGAGTGGTTGTAGGTAACCATACCGGTCACATCCTGGGCCCTTTTAACCCCTCCACTGCCACTGGAGACATAATTAGGATGGCAGAGTAGTCTCCTGCAGAGAATGATCCTGGGAATGCTAAGCTCTGAGCACTTCCTGGTCAGGGCTATGAAAGTCCAGGTTGCATGCAGGAGGTTGTAACTCTGTTTATCAACTTCGATTGACAGGAGAGAGGCATCCAGGGTATAATAGACCCCTGACGTCTCCATCAAGAGGACTTGTCACTACTACTACTACATGGGGGGGCTCATCAACCCCCTTGTAATAATAATGTGTGTGTGTATATATATTATACACACACTGTATAATACCTAAATCATAATGACACTGCGCACACCAGGATAATTTCCCTTGCCTTATTGATTTGTACTGTCTACAAAAAATATAGTATTAATTTTTGTTAAAGCTGTACCCTGGCCAAAAAATAACTCCGCGTTGTAATCATCCATCGTTAAATGTATTTTTTTAAAAAATGTGAGCAATGTAAGCAGCTGCATTTGGCCTTTGATCAGTCACTGTACAGCAGAGCTGGAGTGTGAGATGAAGAAGCAGTACAAGGAGCCAATAATGCTGACAAGCATGCTGATAGGAGGAGAAAGCAGAGTGACAGACAGATGAGCTTGTCACTTTGATGTGTCTCCTTTTACTGTCTAGCCACATGCTAGGGCAGGTCAAGGAAGACCTGGGCTCAGAGGAATTGGGTTGAATAATGTTCTTCATCAGACTGAGGACATCTAGCTGCAGAACAAAATGTACTGCAGGGGAAACCTCTGGATTGACGGGGAATATTACAGCAAAAACTGGTTTTGTTATTTTAACAAGCGCTAATTGAAGCTAATTAAATGTTATCTAAGTACATGAGCCGTATGTGTTCTTGAAGTCGTGTGTTTCTTCTATATCTGTGCAGTGATCCAGCATGAAACAATTGCTGCACTTCCTGTACTAAAGACCGGTCATTGCTGCTCTCTCTCTTTGTAATGAGTGACAGTCTTGTATCTGCTCCTCCTGTAATTTACCTCATACAGCCTGTAGTGAGTGAACCTGCTGAATTCCAGCTCTGCATAAGTTATGTGCGGCACAGTGATGAGCTCACTACAATTTTTGTGCCCAAGGTCGAGTTTTAACACTGTTACAAATGTCGTCCTTGCAAATCTAATTCACATTTCCTGTTTAGCTCACAAAGGTATTTTTCAAGGTTATGTGTTTGTTCTTTATTATCTCAGCAACATTTTCTTTCACTAGTTATGCTATAAAACTGCTGCTACTAACTAGTAACCCTGTTCTGTGGCCCCTTTTGAATGGAATACAATTCAATTCTTTCTATTACTATATTTGCTTTCTTGGTGATCTGCATCTGAGAAGGACACCAAGCCGATATATTTTCATTTTATGTTTTCAAATCAGCTCCTAAAAGGCGAAGACCAGCACGTTCAATATTTGATGGCTTCCGGGATTTTCAGACGGAGACCAGTAAGTAACTGATTGTAGTTATTGCAGGTATTTGTGTTCCCCGTGGTCCCTGTGTGTGCTGTAAAGTAGGCACCCCTCCAAGCTCGCTCCCGTGATGGACTGCAATCTCATGTTTATTTTACTAATTTGTATTTAAGATTTAGCTCCTGAGTTTCGTGTCACTTTAATCTTTCATGTCTTCATACCTCCCAACTGTCCCTCTTTTGTTACCATATCCTTCTGTCCCTCTTTCTTCCTCAGTTGTCCGTCTTTCTGAAAAGTCGATGCCTAGCCCAATACCCGAACTTCCAGTATCGGGAAACTGGCCAGTGAGTCATTACACGCTGCCCGGCCTCTTGATTGGTGCAGGAAGCCGGCTCCACGCTCCATCGTCACTTGGTGACAAGGGAGAATGGAGCCGACTTCCCGGCCAATCACGAAGCCAGGCAGTGTGTAATGACTCGTCGCCTAGCTTCCTGATTGGCCGGGGAACCGGCTCCATGGGACTTCCGGTATGGGTATTCGGTATTGGCGAGTGCCGGAAAAAGAATATCGGTACTCGATACTGAAAAACCGGTTTCAGTGCATCCCTACTAATTTGTATTGAGATTGTAGTCCATCAGGAGAGTGAGCTTGGAGCCTTGGCTACTGAACCCGAATGCTCCATACGTTCAGTCTCATCATCCATTAATACAGCCACACATAATGCATAGAAGATTCAGCCATTCATCAGCAGGGGCTTGCATCATCTGCTATTACTGCTGGCTGTTTATGCACACGGTTAAGCAGTGGTTAAGCAGATGACTGTTGCAGTGGTTAAGCAGATGACTGTTGCAGTGGTTAAGCAGATGACTGTTGCAGTGGTTAAGCAGATGACTGTTGCAGTGGTTAAGCAGATGACTGTTAAATGTTATAAGTGTTGTGGACAAGAAAGATTACAATTTTCTGGCTTCTTTGCTATTTGCTAAAAGTGGACTAGGCCCTCCTTGTGCAAGTTACAGGATAGATAATACCTTTTAGACTCAGCACTATAGGTTTGAATAAACAATTAAAATACCAGTTCTACATTATTACTGCTAAAATAAAGTGTATGGTATTTAAATCTTTTATTTGTATGATTTTGGAGCTATTTCATTACCCTACCAATCCTTTTTAAAACCTAGAGTGCAGGAGGTAGTCAAGCTCTGGCCCTCAAGCTGTGGTGCAACGACAAATGCCATTAGGAATCGCAAGACCCTGACATCCACAGGCACGACTCCCTAAGGCAGATGCATGATTGGATTTGTAGTTTCTCCACAGCTGGAGGCCTGAGGTTTGCCTACCCCTGCCATAGTGTTTTTTTTGGCCATATTTGAGTAGTCAGTTAAGTCTGATTTATTGTTTTTAAAATATGATAACATAGTTTAGATTCAAGGTTGTTCTCCTGCTTTTAACTCGATCTTTCACTTTATTATTTCTTTGTGTTACACATTCCTGCAATATTTTTGGAGCTGCATTGATCAGCGCTCTTTGTAGAAGTGACAGTTTTCTTATTCCATAATCGTATCAATGTGTCTATTTTACATTTGGGTATTGCAGTTCGCCAGGAGCAGGAGCTGCGGAATGGAGGAGTGGTGGATAAAAAACTAACTACATTGGCTGACCTGTTCCGACCGCCTGTAGATCTTATGCATAAAGGAAGTTTTGAGACGGTATGTCCATGGTTTGTATAAAGGGAAGATCTGGCTGTTCTGTGTATTGTACTTATGGGTTTAATTGCTCCAAATTTCCTATGTGACCCTACCATAGTGGATCGCTGTATGGGATGATTTTTGTATGTGAGCTGGAGTATCTGAAGAAGCTCAGAATGCTCATCTGGCTGCTGTTGCTCTGGTTCAAATGTTACCAGCCTGTAATTTCTTGTGCGGTGAAGGAGTCTGGGAGGTGGTACTGGCTAGCAGGAAACTCTTTAGGGCTAGTTCACGCCAGATGCAGAGCAGTTACAGAACGGATCAAAACAGCGTCCAATGTATTCCAATGGTATTTTGGGCTCTAGTTCACACCAGAGAGTTCACTCCTAGAGCATGTGGACAAACTGCAGCATGCCCTAGTTTTCTGCTCTGGGACACACCAAAACGCATGCAAACGCCCTGGAACGCACTTAAAGCCCATTTTAAGACATATATATATAGATATATATGAATATTTTTTTTTTTTACAAAATCCCCCGGATGCGTCAAAATTGAAAGAAGAAACTCATGCAGATCTGGTCTGCATTTGGTGTGAACAAGCCCTTAGACAGATATGAAACTGATACAAAGTATCTAAAATTAACTTTTATAAAATACCCTCCGCAATCAGTTATACTCCATTTCAGATGACTATTTCCTGATGTAACTGTCAGATTTTGGGAACTGACAGAAAAGGCTAATTTGCGCTGAGAGTTTTTAGTGTTTTACATATTAGGCTTGGTGCACAGACAATAAAAAACGTAATTTGTTTCTAATGATCCTGTTCTCGCCAACTGGCACTTTAAGGCCGGCATTGCACTTTTGCACTGCACCTGAAGTGAGTTGTTCTCGGTAGAAAATGGTCAGGTGGGATTTTTTTTTTTTTTGGCTGTGCTGGCAGCCTGTTCAGGACACATTAATGCACATGCATGTGTGTGCATTAACTTGATGCTTGGTGTGATCCCAGCAGTAGGGTCATGCGAGGTAATGCCCCATGCATGCTGCCTTTTAGAAACATTTTAAGCCTTCATAGGAGCGAATTGAAACACTTGTAAAATGCATTGAAATATGTGTATATATGCACTTTTTAAAAAAATCTTACAGAACAGAGAATACATTGAAAGGGTACCCTCACAATACAATACAAGGGTTAAACGCTCGTTTTGTCTAGGGGGCACAAGCAAAGCAGAATTACTCACCTGATCTTCCGCCCCACCGGCTCCCTCCACACTGCTACACCGGTTGCTGCATCCCCCCCGTGCTCCAGCTGTCTAAGGACCACTGATGTTGCCATGTCTTATGGAGGTCCGATGACCTACATTAGACACGAGGCTGCCGAGGGACATTTCATAGCTGGAGTTGAAGCGGGGGGGGGGTCGGGTCAGAGAGCTGAGCGCTGACCACTGTGGGACTGAGAATCAGGTGAGTAATACAGCTTTATTTAAGCGCCCTGGACAAAACGTGCACCACTGCAAGGGTAAGTTGTCTTTTTTTTGCCTGGTGTTCTGATTTTAAGCCTGAAGAATAATCATTTGATTCGCATGTTCCCATGTTTCTAAAAATATTTTTTTCCTCCGTTTATTAATCAAACCGTTTTCCATTCTATTTCTTATTAACCAGTTGGGTAACCCTCCTTTTACTATAATTCTAAAAGTAAACCTCCACATTTAAGCAAAGATCGCCACCTTTACTGCAGTGACCCATTTGCTCATTTAGTATAAACTTGTTTTTTTTGTTAAGTTTGGGTGCGGCTTCCTATAAAACAAGTCATACTTTTCTGCATGCTTTGATTTCTTTCCTTTTTATATCTCTTTACATTTCTAGAATTTGGCCAGGAGTTATTCCAGGAGCCATTTCTCCTAATATACAAAGATTATATACAAGGACAGAGCAGCCAATAAAATCTAGGAAAGCAGAAGACAAAGTAGATGTAAAAAGCTCTGATGATGTTGATCTTCTCTAACTTGGGCCACATGTGAGGACAGTGAAGCTAAACCTGTTCAGTGTCGCTTCAAGTTAATCTGTTCTGTAGAACTAGTTTGACTCACAGCAGTTAGTGAATTTCACTCCATCTTTTGAAGCTTGTCACAAGGGTGATTTTCTTTGTGTCACTGCATGACACAAAATGTCACCAAGTACCTTTTTCCCCAAGGAAATCTTTCTTTATTGTACATCGCAGGACACAGACTTGGTAATTCTTAGACCACTGGTTTATGCTGCTTCCTTCAGGTGATTAGACACTGGCAAAGCAAATCTGTAAAGACAACCCTGCATTACCCCTCACACACTCCCAGCAGTTTTTGGCTAGTGCTCTTAGTTGATTGATGTGTCTCTCTGAGAGAGGCTTATACTATTGTTGCCATTTTTTTTCAGGTACATTTCTTCTAGCAAATGTCCAGCTGCACTATAGCCTCTGCAGTGTTTCCTGTTTTTTTGTCTTTTTTTTTGTTTACAGCTTTCCCAGATTGCTTGCTCCTTGGTTGAGTCTTGGGGGATTGTACCCAGATGCCACATGGAAGATGTGGGGCCAGCTCTCTGGGCTCTGGCTTCTACATGGGTTACTTACATTGGCCTTTGAGCCTCACATTGAGTTAGCTGTAAGGTGCTATACAGGTCAAGGGCCATGGTTTATCAGGAGGTTGGAGCCCTGTCACTTAAGACCCCTCTTGGGGGGGTAGGCCCACCAGGAGGGCAAAGATTTGGATGGGGCCTCTCTGCCTGGGAGACCTTGTGCTGACTCTGTAATTCAGGGCTTCTAGCTCTTTTTTTTTTTCTATAGAGCCCAGGGTGCTGTTGCCTCCCCACGCTCATGCGGTTTTGTTGAACACTTTGTTCACGCTCTGGCTGTTGAACCCCTCGGTTCTGAGGAACAGGGGCTTGTTGGATTCTTATGTCTACACTCTTGAAAGCTGTTAAATAGTCATCTTGTAAGGGCTACCATTGCACTTGGAAAGCATATTTTGCTTGGCTAGAAACTTCTTTGTAGAGCACATCCTGTCTTTCATTCGGCCCATGTTGGACCAGCGTTTAGCCTTGAGTACTACCATAGATCAAATTTCTGCCTTGGTAATTCTCTTCGAGAGGCCACTGGCCTTTCACTTTTTGGTGAGGGCTTTTCTACGGGGCGTTGCTCATATAGTTTCTCCTATATGTTCTCCTCTCCATTGAGACTTCAGTCTCAGTTTTATCAGCTCTTTAGGAAACACCCTTTGAGCCTATTACGGAAATCCATTTGGTTACCCTTTACTCATAAGGTTGTGTTTCTAATCACTTTTACCTCGGCTATGCACAATTCTTATTTGGCAGCCTTGTCCTGTAAAGAGACCTTCCATGTGTTGCACATGTACAAGGTTGTTTCGAGCCCTAAAGCCTCCTTCCTTCCTAAGGTTGTTTCTTCCTTTCCCTTTACCAGGACTTTGTCTTTTCTTCATTATGTCTAGCTCCTAAGCATCCTAAAGAGATTTATTCCAATGTTTGGATGTAGTGCAGGGAGGTGCCTACATACCTCTCTGCTACTGCTCCCCTTTGTCAAACTGACTTTGTTTGTCATTGAAACGGACCCCCGTAGATGGCAGGTGTCTTCTTCTCATTCCACTTTTGCTAGGTGGATTTCACAACCTCTCACTCCAGCTTATGACCTTTAGGGGCAAGAAGCCCCCTTTTTTAGTCAAGGTGCATTCAACATGATCAATCAGTGCTTCCTAGGCTTTTCAGCACCAGACCTCGGTTTCTCAGATGTAGAAGGTTGCCACCTGGTCCTTGGTTCATGCGTTTGCTAACTTTTACCAGGTGGATACTTAATGGATGTCGGCTAGGGTTGTTAGGTTTTTCAGGCAGCCCTGTAACTGGTGCAGCCTGCCCCGTTTTCTGGCTGTTTTTTGTGGGCCTTTTAGACTTTTTTGCTTTAACCCAACCCTGTGGTTGCACTACTTTTGGATGTCCCAGTGGTCTAGGAATTACCAAGCCTTTGTCCTGGGATGTACAACAAAGAAAATAAGATTTTTGTCTTGCTTATAAAATCCTTTTCTTGGTGTACATCACAGGATACGATTATGTGTTGATGTTTACTCCTGTATTTGCTACAAAAGACATGCTGTGGGAAGGGTTATTTAGGGTTATCCTTACAGCTTTGCTTTGCCATTGTCCAATTACCTGAAGGTAGCAGCATTACCCAGTGGTCTAAGAATTACCAAGCTTGTGTCTTGTGATGTACTTCAAAAAGAGGATTTTGCAAGTAACGCAAAAGTCCTGCTTTGTGCATCTAGATATCTCCCGATCTTGAACACATGCTGAACCTGTAACTCTACTTCAACTTGAAGCTTTGCAGCACCTTAAAGTTGAGGCCTACGTTTAGCATGTGTACAAGATTGGGTCACAGAGGAGGAGTTCCTTAATAATAAAAGCACCTGACACGTTACCTTTAAAGGCTATACTCTGCGACTATACTTAAGCCATCAGAATTTTATATATCACACACTGGTTTCTTGTTATAGTATACCAAAGTATTCTAAAAAAAGGTTTGGAGATATTCTCCCAGTATGACAATTATATTATTTACTAAAATGATTAGCTTTTCCTGGAAGCTGTGGAAGGAACATGCTGGGTTGTTCTTATACACAAAACTGACAGATGTGTTATACTCCCTATAGTTGCTGATTTAAGTAATCCAAAACTACACAGTATTCATGTACAAAAAAGGTTACTGCAGTCTTTTGGCAAGCGTTACATCTGAGGGTAGCAGCTGCTGTTTGATTTAAAATCACTGTGTGCAATGGCTAGTATGTTGTCCAACACTCACATCAACGGGGCATTTAGAGAATGAACGGAATTCATATTCAGCGGCAGGTTTGAAACTTTCTACAGTTGTACTATGTATTTCTTTTTAAACAGTATTTCATTTGTTGTGCAGACTTTAGGCTACAGGTCATTGATTGCAGCGGACAGGGTCCCATTGACATTCCTAGGACTGCTTGTTGACGTATTGAGTTATGATCTAGATAGGCAAAGCCTAAGGTACAATTTCTGCGATGAGAGATATAACTGCCAGCTTGTAGGGAGACTTTGTACTTTCTTTTAAGGAGTGCTGAATTAGAATAAAAACATGATAATAGCATAGGCAGTTTTGCTATTACACATGTTATTTTTCTAATTTCAGAACACCTTTTAAAAGGAGAAATAATATGCTAGAAGAGGAAATCCAGAGGTGACCCATTACTTCAAGTGACGGGACTCAAATTTTCCTGGAAGTCAAAGTCAGCTGTAAACTCTGAAAAGTGTGAGTTGGGCTTATCTTCAATTACCCGCTAATTAAGCAGACTGAAACACTCTGCTAAAGTTTAGTCCTTCCCTGCTATTCTATGATCCAAGCTGATGATATACCTGCACTTCTACTATCAAAGTCCTTCTACCATGACATTGGCACCCCCTGATCTCCCCACCTCCAAGAAATATATATAAAATGTTTAAGTAATTTTCAGGCCTAAAGTGTGGATTATAACGTGAGCAAAAAAAGCCTTGGCAGAAAATGAGTTAAAGATCGTTTAACTCGCCTTATGCGTGTTAAAATGATGTAAAATACTTGAATGTCCCTAGCCTGGCCCACAGGTTCACTGTAAAGTGTTGTTCCACTTTTGTAGCCAAATTCAGATAACACTTATTTTGTATTTGTTATATGTCCTCATTGACATAGCATAACTTAAAGTAGTATTAAACTCTCAAACTTTATTTCGATAATGAATCCAGATCAAACAAATATACATTGCCCAGCAAAGCAATGCTTTACATTTTTGCCCACACACATTCATCATGTTTCTGAACAGCTGCTTCCAAGTCTCTCAGCTCAGCTTCCCTAAACTTCTAGTTCAGTACATGATCACAAAGCACAGTGCAGACTTCAGCAACTGTTCCTCTACTAGCTTGGAGCTGAGGGGGCAAGGGGGGAGGGAAGTAGCTTGATTTGCTTTGTCTGTGGAGACACACGGCTTACTAGCACACATAAGGGTGACTCTATAACGCTCTGCTTGAGAAAGGAGTCATTCTGAAACAGGATATCAGGACCATTGCTCAGGGGATCAGCTGAACCTGCAGGAAACTCAAACTTTTAAACATCAAGGAGCAGCATTCATTGTAAGTGATTTAATCAGCATTTAAAATAGCTTAAAATCCTTTTGACTTTAATATCACTTTAAAATAAGTTTAAGAATGTCTGCGTACGTTTTTAAGGCTTTACTTTATTCTAGCTAGCTTCCCCCTTATAAAATGTTAGGGGGGCTGTGGGAAGTTGTTCCCTGTCTGCACTGTGCTGTCAGATTTAATTTCATTCATCAGTTGTAAACTAGATTTGAACACTGTCCGCTGTTGGAATACCTGAGCAGTGCTTGCAGATGCAAGCATCCTTCAGCTGATGATTTTCCATCATGTCCCTTCAGCAAAAGTCAATCTAATGATCGATTTTTGTTGAAGGGCCTCATCATGTCCAAGCAGGGCCAGTGGTGTTCACTAGGGATGCACCGGTTTTCCGGTATTGAGTACCAATATTTATCTTTTGGTAGTCGCCAGTACCGATACTGATACTTCTGGTAGCATGGAGACGGCTTTCCAGGCAATCGGGAAGCCGGGCAGCGTGTCATTACCTGCGCCTGGCTTCTTGACTGCCCGTTAAGCCGGCTCCATGCAGTTTGGCCAGCTCCATGCTGTTTGGCCTAGAAGCCAGCTTCCCAGCCAATCCGCATGGAGCCGGCTTCCCGGCCAATCAGGGAGGCGGGTCATTACCCGCTGCCCGGCTTCCTGTTTGGCCGGGAAGCTGTCTCCATGCAGTTTGGCTGGCTCAATGATAATTGGCTGGACATCTCCCTCTGACCAAGTTCCAGTATCAGGATAAGTATCGGAGCATTTGGGTGAGTACCCGCCCATATACTCGGTATCGGTGCATTTCTAGTATTCACTAATACACTTGAAAACAACAAAATGACTATGATTTATTTTTATATTTAAGTTACTCTTTGGAAGCCTGTTTTTAAAGGGTGATTCCAGCCAAATGGCTAACTACACATTTGTAACACACTTATAGAAATGTGTAAGGGAGGATAGCCTGTGTAGTTGAAGGCCAATGAGGAGGGAGTTGCAATAGTCAAGACGAGAGATAACAAGTGAGCGGATGAGTAATTTTGTGATTTCATTGGTGAGGAAGGGGCGTATTTTGGAGATGTTACGAAGGTGAAGGCGGCAGGATTTGGATAGTGATTGGATGTGGGGAAGAAAGGTGAGGACCGAGTCAAGGATGACACCTAGGACCTTGGCATGAGGGGAGGGCTGGAAATGAAGTGTTATCAACCTAAGCTTCTCTCCTGCTTTAGACTACGAACACATCCTCCTCTCCATCTCCTTTACATGGAGGCGGGGGCCAGATTTAGTAGTTTTCAGAAGATAGTTTGGAAGGCAGAGAAAATGGTTTGTGCTTTCAATTCATACTACTGTAATTCCCTCCTTGTTGGCCTACCACTAAGCAGGCTATCCCTCCTTCAGTCCCTTATGAACGCTGCTGCCAGATTCATCCACCTTACCAAACGATCAGTGTCCGCCACCCCCCCTCTGCCAATTGCTCTACTGGCTCCCACTTCTCCAATCTATAAAATTCAAAATACTAACAATAACATACAAAGTCATCTACAAATCCGCCCAATCCCACATCACCCACCTCATCTCAAAATATCACCCAAACCGCCCCCTTTTGCTCCTCCCAGGACCTCTTGCTCTCCAGCTCTCATCACCTCCTCGCATGCTCGCCTCCAGGACTTTTCCAGAGTGTCTCCCAACCTCTGGAACACCCTATCCCAATCTGTCCGCCTATCTCCTACTCTGTCCACCTTTTAGGCGATCCTTGAAAACTCATCTTTTCAGGGAGGCCTATTCCACCTCGATATAACAGTACTTTTATTTATTATTATTATACAGGATTTATATAGCGCCAACAGTTTGCGCAGCGCTTTACAATATAAGGAAGACATTACAATTACAACACAATTCAAGACAAGATGGTAAGGAGGGCCCTGCCCGTGAGGGCTTACAATCTAAAATTGAGGGGGAAGTGATACATGAGGAGGGAGCTGTGTGGGGATGAATTGTTTGAGAATGTGATGGTTGAGCGGTTAGGTTGAGGTGGGATAGGCTTCCCTGAAGAGATGAGTCTTTAGGGGAACAACTAAAGGCAGTCAAGGTGGGCGACAGACCACCTTGATTTTATTAACTCATCCCTCAGAATTATTACCTTTTGTATCACTTGCCCCTCCTACTAGATTGTAAGCTCTCACGAGCAGGGTCCTCCTACCTCCTGTACTGAAATGGTATTGTTATTGTAATGTCTCCCTCAATTTTGTAAAGCGCTGCTCAAACTGTTGGCGCTATATAAATCCTAAATTTATAATAATTCACACAAAATGACAAGGGCAAAGAATTTCTGGCAAGATCAACGGGTATTTTTGTGTGTTTACGGAAAATATTCTTAGCTTCTAAATCTAAGAACTAGTGGGCTGCAATATATTACATTTTCATTTTAATCTGTATCCAGCTATGACCTAAAACAACATTAAATGTCATTTTCAATTGCAGCATACTAGGGGTGGTCTATATACTGGGTGCCCAGAAGGTCCCTAGAAATCTAATTTCCTGCTCATTTGACAGACTAATTGTTGTTCCCAGAATTCTGCACAGAGCTGGAGTCCATAGCAGACATCCCCTGCAACAGAAGTTCCATTTTTAGTGAGATACTTTCAAAGTCTCTTTGTAACCTAAAGGGATTCCAGTGATGCAGATCTTTGTGTGCGTGTTTTTTTTTGTTTTTATGGACTGACCAGGTGATGGCTATGTAGGCTTCTACCACTTTACCACCTAGCACTCAGTTTCATCGCTCTCGTTTGTGTATTTAGATATTTTGTAGGGTAGCTTGGGTATGTTTGTATCGCTAGGTTAACAATGCATGTCTAAAATACGTATTTGCCATTTTCTTTTGTTTTATAACCTACAGGCCAAGGAATGTGGACAACTAAAGAACAAATGGCTGATGATTAACATACAGAATGTGCAGGACTTTGCCTGCCAGTGCTTGAATCGGGATATATGGAGTAATGACAATGTAAAGTCTTTAATACGTGAACATTTCATCTTCTGGCAGGTAGATGATCTCCCACTAATTCGTATTATCTATATTGTTATTATAATCATTTATATTTGTAATGACTAGTGTACATAACTGTAATCAGAAAATTGACTCGGCAAGTATAACAGGACCAAATTAAACACAGTCTTTGACTTGGCTGTAGAGTCACATTTTTTTTTTTTTTATATTTTCTCTTTTGGTGCACCGGTCCTGGAGATACTGCAATACCAGATCGATGCGTGGAGTGGACAGAGCAAGCTCTTCTTCCATCTCCCTGTTCTAAAAATCCATTTAATATATGGTCACCAGATAGGGGACGTATCAGATATTAAACTGATAAGACCAGATACTACACTTGATCTTAGCCAAAAGGCCGAGAAGCAAATTTTTTTTAAATGTGAAAAACAAAAATCCTTCATATCTTGGATGAAGAGATTGCATTGTCCTCCGGCTAAATCCGATTACAGGTGATTAAAACACATCTCCGGGATAAAGTTAACCCCCCCACCTACCCTTCTCTCCCACTCCCCTCTAACCGATCGCTGGATTGAAAAAAGTAATTCCCTTTATACTTAAAGCCACAGTCAGGAGACACTCCTGTCCATAGCTGCATTTTCTGCTTACTCCTGGTGGGGTTCTTTATCAGGTGTCCACGTCACGGCCTGTGTGTGGCTGTCCAGCAGTGAGGTCCTCTAAGGATCCAGAAAAGGAGTAACCTCATTGTAAGCAAATTATCCTGGCTAAAGCCAGTAGTGACCACACTTTATAATAAACACTTTGTTTCATATGCTTTGGTTATGGTTTTGTTTTATATTTTCTGGTGTTTCAATTACGATGTCCTATGCTTTGATTGCACAGGTATATCATGACAGTGAAGAAGGACAGAGGTATATTCAGTTCTACAAGTTATCCGATTTCCCATATGTTTCTATTCTGGACCCTCGCACAGGTAAGTCTGATTGGGGAGCTCACTTTGCTCTTTGTGATTGGTTTCTTCATGCTCTCCCTAACTGCCGTTTTACTTGTGAATAGGTCAGAAGATGGTTGAGTGGCAAAAATTAGATGTGAGTTCCTTCTTGGAGCAAGTTACTGGATTTTTAGGGGAGCATGGCCAGCTTGATGGTCTCTCCAGCAGTCCACCTAAGAAGCGACCGCGTTCTGTAAGTAGGAAGACATTGTACTTTTCATTTCATTGTCGTATATAGCTTGAAGGTTCATTTTTCTTATACTGCATGTACTGGAACAAAGTTTAGTTAGTGTTGTCCTTGGCTGCCAACCATACGACTGTCAAAGGATTAAACTTAAGACCAAAGTAGTTGAATGTGAAATAAACAGCTTGTCCTCACCCCGAGTTCCCTTTTTTACTCCTATGCCTGATTAAATGGAGGTCAGATAATAGCGGATTTGTGTCCTGCATCCTCGTGTGGATTCTCCATAGTAATGCTGAACAGTATGCCAGTAGACATGTCTCTATTACTGCCAGAATGGCACCTTGCCTCTTTCCACTCAAGATAGAATAATGGCCAATTAAACAATGGATTTAAATTGTTCTTAAGTTGGCTCTTTTTATTTTTGGCTTATTAGCAGGCTCGGATTCCCCCACAAGGCCACCCGGCCTCGGGGCGGCAGGGCGCAGAGGGGCGGTAGCGGTGTCTTTGTGGGGAAGTGCCGGGCGGTAAGTTGCCCTCTCTACAGTTAGTCCTGCTTTGCAAAAGCAGGACTAAATGTAGAGTGAGGGAAGCCGATTGTTCGTTTACATGTGATCTCGGCGATGTCGCCGAGATCACATATAATAAGTCTGCAGCCTGTCCTCCTCCCTTCCCCCCGGCACTTGCCTCTCTACGCTCCGCCACCGAGTCTCTCCTCACTGCGGCGAGCAGAGCGGCAGGGTTAAAACTAACCCTGCCGCTCCGTGTAGACAGTGAGAGGGGAGAGCTGTGCTCTGCCTCTCTCACCTGTCACAGGAGTTCCAGCACAGTGCTGTGCTACAACTCCTGTATTGGAGGTGACAGGGTCAATAAAGAGAACCTCCAGATCAGCCGTTAACGGCTGTAGTAACGAGCGGGTCTTTCCTGCCCGTGTGCGCGCGCAGGAAAAAAATGCCGCCTGGAGATGGCAACCCGCTGATGCGAGTCTGAGGTTAGAGGTTAAATAAATAAAAATTAAAAAAAATCACAAGAAATAATTAAATAGAAAAAGTGATAAAGTTTAAAAGAAAGAAACAGTAAAAAAAAATTGAAACTAACCCCACCGCCCTGCCATTTGGTTGCCATTCTCCATTGATGGGAAGGCCGGGGGGGGGCATATTGCGGAACCTGGCCTTGGGGTGGCAGGGAGAGTAAATCTGGCCCCAAATTGAGATGACGCCTACTTTATGTGTTACATGTTCCTATTTGCATAGCATAAGCTAAAAAAAAAAAGTGCTTCTTGCAGTTTAAATTGGATAAGGGTTCCTTGGCTTCTTAAGGGTTAAAATAACTTGCTTCTCCATCTTTGTAACATTAGGAGGTGTTTTGAGGGGTTTGCTAACCCTGCCTGTGCTGTGCTTGCTCATTTTGTTATCATTTGGAAGTAGATTTGAACACTGCCTGTCCTAACGGAGATCTCATTTGAGTCACAAGAGTACACTTACTAATGTACTACTGTGACCCAAACTCAGCATATAGAGGGCTACTGGCCACGCTATCCTGACAGCGCAGAGGCATGCTGCAGGCCAGAAAGATCCCGGAATTACTGTCAATGCCTAATTGACAGCTGGTTCTACCTCTCCATAGGCAGAGCCAGCTGTGCCCGCCCTCTCCCCTGTCTGTCCCTCCAATGAGTGCTGGAGGAACGAAGGGAAGGGGGCATCCCTTTGGGGAGTGGTGACTGACAGTCACCGCTCTCTACAGGGAGAAGCCATGAGCTGAGCTGGTTTGTGATTTGCTCAGTTCTCAAGCTATACAGCAGTGTCTCACACCAGCTCAAACTATTGGAAGAGTATATTTTACTCTCCCAGTAGTTCTTCTTTAAAGGATTAAAAGCCAAGAAAAAAAACAACAATCCACAAATATCAGTCCTAAGCCTTTCTATATGGACAGATCACTTTGACGGCGCTCAGAAAAACTTGGATTCAGCCATGTTGCCTGCTGCAACAAACATCTAAAAGGTAAGAAATATTTTTTAAAAATATGTTTTTCGGTATGCTTTGTGAATAGGAACATTGCAACTAACTTATAGTGGGGTTTTCTCAAATTTGACTGCAAAAGTGAAAATACACTTTGAAATTGATTATTTTATTTCCCCCTATTGCAAAACTACCTCCGACTGTTTTTGTAGAGAGACCAGTTTCTCAAGACATAACTGATTTCAACCCTGTACAACCCTATAGAAGTGTAGCAGCCTGGTGGTTCAATTTGTCTTCACTGGACCTATTCAATTGTCAGATGAAAGAATCCAAACCTATTAGTAGGCACATCTAGATGTAAAAGCATCTGGCCATAGTAACTGAGTGAGGGGCAACAGATGTGTGTGGGCTAGGTAAAGTTATGAAATCATTCCAGTATCACACTAGTGCCCTGCTTTTATGAAGATTTTATTTTATGTAGAATTGTTTTCTAGTTTCTTAATTTGACTGGTTTGACCCCTTCTAGGAGAGCCTTATAGATGCCAGTGAAGACAGCCAACTAGAAGCAGCAATACGTGCATCTCTGCAGGAAACCCACTTTGACTCTACGACAACAAAGAAAACTTCTCAATACGAGGAGGAGTCAGACCCTGAGCTATACTCTGGTAGTGAAGAATTTATCTCTGTATGTGGTTCTGACCACGAGGATGAAGACGATAGGCCTGTGGAAACATTGCCAGAGCCAGAGACTTGCACCAGTAAAGCTAAGAAGGCCACATCTAAAAACGCCAATCACAGAGAGGAGGAGGAGCCGTCAGAACCTATAGAAGATGCCACAGTGGAACCAGACGTTTTAAGCCAGCAAGCACCCCTAGAAACCCCTACCAAATCTCTGGATCAATCTTGTACAGAAGAACATAGCAGGGATCCTGACCATGCAGGAGATTGTCCTGATAATAATGGTGAGTACTGAACACCTATTTTCTTGATTGTACATTACAGGACACAAGGAGATTCATTTTTAGACCACTGGGTTATGTAGCTACCGTCCGGTAGATAGGCACTAGCAAATCAATTAAAGCTGTGAGCCAGCCCTGCAAAACCTCACCCACTACCAGCCTACTGCAGTTTTTTGCTAGTGTCCTTTGGAGATGGGCATCTCTCAGCTCTGAGAAGTAGTCCGTTTTGTTTTTCACTTGTTTCCACTAGTTTTTTTCTTCAAGCCAGTTACCTTAATATTGCTCTAAACCACTGTGCCTCCTCCAGCAGCTATCCAGATAGGTTTTCTTCTCAGCAGAGCCTTGATGGACCGCACCCAGACCCCACCAGAAGGAAGATGCCGGGCTAGCCTGTATTATGCTCAATCACTGGACTCTGTTTGCCGTCCTCTTTGGCACTTTGTGTAGCGTGTGATTAGCCGCAGGATGCTTTACAGGTCCAGGGCCGTGGTCCTTCTATGGAGGCCTCACCCTGAAGACCCCACTGAAGGGAGAGTTTATTCCAGAATAAGTATATGCCAGTTATGAAGACTAGATGGCATGTCCTCCCTGACCGCTGCCACATCTGTGGTAAGGATCTAAAACCTCTCAAGTAAGCTGCAACAATGCCCCCTAGATGCTAGCCCCAGTCTCCTAATAGGTTAAATTTGAGGCTCCAGCACACACTTAGAATTGTGCTTTAAGGAAGTGTTCAGCTTTAAAAAGTTAAGATTGGTGTGATCAGGTTCCCTTGCAACCTAGAAGCTGAGAACAGCCTCGTCCCGGGTAGTTTACTGCACATGTGACCGTAATTTGTCGCCACACCACCACACAGCACTCCTTATCCCGTGCCACCTTGTCTACAATGCCTGGATACACTGCACCCTCTCAAAGCTGGCAATGAGTTTTGTAGGGTATCAGACATGTTGGATCATAGTTGCAGGGTTACTGGGGAGGGGGCATGGGGGCCACACAGCCGGATCACGGCTCTTGCACGGAGTTCTGCTTCCCTCTGTGGACTTAATTTCTTTCAGTCCCAAGCTGAGCTCCCTGTCCCCTCTGCTGCTAGCGTTTGGGTCCTCCTTGGCTCCCTCTGTGTCACACGCCTCAGATTTTCTATCATCTGTGCAGGCAGTGGCACATGTTGTTCACCCTGTTTGTTCTCCGGTCACTCAGTGGGACCTCAATCTTATTCTCTCGACTCTTGAGAAGAAGCCCTTTTGAAAGGATCAAAGAGAGATTTCTCTTCCTTTGCTTACTTGCAGGGTGGCCTTTTTCATAACCATCACTTCTGGTGACATGTTTCTGAATTTGCATCTTGATGTCCAGAGGAGCCCTTTCTGGTCATCTGTAAGAATAACGTTTTGCTGAGACCTAAGGCTTCCTTACTCCGTAAGGTGGTCTCTGCCTTCCACCTTCACCAGGACATCGTGATATAATCCTTGTGTCCTGCTCCAAAACATCCTAAAGAAATGTCCCTTCTCTGTTTAGACACAGTTTGGGCAGTGAGAGTTTACCTCTCTGAAACTCCTGCTATTTGCAGGTCTGACTCCATGGTTGTTATTTCTGTAGATCACCATATGGGACAACCTGATTCCCGCTCCACCATTGCTAGGTGGGATCCATCAGACCATCTGGCAGGCCACCAAGCTCAAAGAAGTTTCTCCATTTTCGGTCACCGCACATTCCACAAGAAGTGTTTTTGCTTTTTGGGCTTTTCAGCACTAAGTTTCTATTTCCCAGATCTGTAAACACCTTTTCCTTGGTGCACACTTTTGTTATGTTCTACCAGGTAGATGTTCACACCTCTGCAGATGCCAGTTTTGTCCGGAAGGTTATTCAGGCGACCCTGTAGTCCTTGTGCGCTTCTCTGTTCTATTTCTTCCCTGCTGGGGTTGTTTCTCCTTGGGCCTGTTGGCCACTGTTTTCTGTGTTTTGCCGGCCCCTCTGGTGGACTGCTATTGAACATCCCAGTGGTCTAAGAATTGGACTTCCTGTGTCCAGTGATGTGTGATCAAGAAAACAGGATTGTAATCTTACCTGTAATTTTCTGTTTCTTAGAGTACATCACAGGGTACACGACTCTCTGTATTCTTTGATCCACTCTGTACAGCTTGCTACAAAAGTGAGGCAGCCTGGGAGTCGGCGGGGTTATGCTGGGCTGACCTGTAGCTTTGATTTACTAGTGCCCAGTCACCTGACAGTAGCTGCATAACCCAGTCAAATTTTACAGGCAAGAAAAATCCTGTTATTCTTGTCACATAAGATTTTATACCAGGATACTAGAGCTTGTATGCAGTTTTAGTGAACTAACATGAACATGCACAAGAAATGGTGCTGTCCACGCTTGCATCAAGGCATTACATATGGACTATTTGAGTGTTCAAGGATTGGCCTGTACTACAGAAAGATATTTATGGAATTAGGTTCTTACTACTTACCTCCGCTTGTCATATTTGTGTTTAAACTTTACTCCAGCCTTACCTTTTTCCCCACAATTGTAGCAAGTCCTTTCCTGTGTTAAAATGTATTACTCTCAATTCCATGCACGCCGTCATCTCCACAATACAATCTTTCGATGCTGCAGCAGCTATTTTGAGCCCTCCTCATTTCCAGTTTGAATGACTCGCCCTGTCAGTAATGTTTGCTATCCATCGTGTGTGGGTATGATAGTTACATAGTTACATAGTATTTGAGTTTGAATAAAGACATTAGTCCATCAAGTCCAACCTATTAGGATCTCATTCTAGGAGTACCTGTACCCCTGTATATTACCTGTACCCCTGTATATTACGGTCCCTTAAGAAATCGTCCAAAAGTTTCTTGAACAATTCCACATTATTTGCTGAAATCACCGCCTGTGGCAGTGAGTTCCAGACCCTAACTGATCTTACTGTGAAGAACCCCCTTCGCCCCTTGTGCTGGAATTTTTTTTCCATCAATTTTAGGTGATGGCCTCTAGTTTTTGTAACGGAGTTAATTTTAAACAGTTTATCGCTAATGTTGCTACCACCATTAAACATTTTGTACATGGAAATCATATCCCCCCTTAATCTCCTCACCTCTAATGTGAACATGTTTAAATTTAGTAGCCTCGTCTCGTAGCTCTGGTCCTCCATACCCCTAATTAGTTTGGTTGCCCTTCGCTGGACTTTTTCCAACTCAAGGACATCTTTTCTTAGTACTGGTGACCAGAACTGGACCGCGTACTCCAGATGAGGTCGAACCAATGATCTATAAAGTGGCAAAATTATAGACTTGTCCCTGCAATAGATCCCCTTTTTAATACAGGACAAGACCCTGCTAGCTTTGTTTACAGCAGCCTGTAGGTGTGATCTTTTTTTGCCCCGCATCATTTGTGGGTCGTTCGCTTGGGCGGGCTGTATGTAAAAGCAATCTGTCCAGTAACTCCTCTGCTCTGTGACTGGTGCTAGCATAAGCAAAGTTTCATTTAACTGTGCTATCTGTTGATCAGTTGCTTGTTTTCACTCTGTTAGAGTTGGTTTGGCAGTACAATGACAGGGGGACACCCATCAATGCAGCCATCATTTATATAAAAATCTCCCAAGAGCCAGCCCACTGCTTGGGAGAGCTCTTGAAAGCAGATTCTCAGATTCTAGGTAGGGTGCTGTGACTTTTACAGGAGCCTGCTGTCCCTTCTAACCAATCACAATGATACTACAGAGCAAAGACCAACAGGGAGACCCAGTGATATTTCTTGATTTGAGAACTTTTTGAATTGCACGTTAATCAGGGAAAAAGGGGGAGGGGGGGGGGGGCGCAGGAAC